TTTCTTTAATAGTTTCCGAAATCAGTTCTCCTATCTTATTTGTGTTACTTTCTGCAAGTTCTGCAGGTATAATGATGACTCTTCTCCGGCAACAGGAATTTCCCATTTCTCTTTGGGCTTCTAAGCCTCTTTGGTTTAGTTTTGAGTCTTTTAGAAACAACGCATGGTCGGTTTGCAACCAGTTGCAAACCTGGCTAAGTCCGTAACAAAGCTTGTAAATGATGGCAACAGTTCGTTTTTCGTTGGTGCCTAGTCTTAACGGTGAATGTATTAGGTCCGTCATTGCGTTTAATAGCGGAGCTCCACGCGCGCGAAGCGGAACCCCATGGGTAAGTAAAATTTGGTAATCTACCCATCCGAGAAATTTTGGTAATCACGACCGTCCGTCCGCACCACAGGAATACCAATGTAAAATAACTCGACCAACAGGTATGGCAACCCAAATGCTCTTCGAGTATATCTTGGTGGGAAATCGCATAGCCACCCGCGTCTTGTGCAGCAGAGACAACTGAAGAGTCAATAAAGACGAAAACGGAAAGCGGAAATTGTTTCTGTATCCTTGTAATTGTCATGTCCACAGATTTGGAATATAGAGAAAAAATAAAGTGGGCGACAGGCCAGCGAATTTCAACGAGAAAAAGAGCGACAGAGAGCTAGAGCAGAAGATAAGGAGCTATTTGTTGGAAGAACAACATGAAAATTTTTTAGCGGCAGTGAGAAAATGAGAAATCCTAGCGGCCACCAAGGTAAAAATGAGTGAGTGAAAAAAATTGAACAACAACAGGAGCGACATTCGGCTCCATAAAACGTGTAACTACGAAGTTTCTGGAAGTTTCTTGTTGTGGTCGTGCAAAAAAAAAGGCAAAGAAATGTACAAAAAAAGTGTGCTGCACGTGCAAAGTTGTTTTTTTGCTAATTAGACCTATTGTTGTTCTTTCACCGTTCTCGCTGCCTTCGCCGCTTAGCATAACATGATTTTATATTTTGTTTGAGCAAACTATAAATATTATCGAGAGCTTCGCTTTTAGCCCCGGCTAAATCCATTTAGTATATGCTAAAACAGTGGATAGTGTTTTTCGCGCGCTCTGATTGGCTGCTCAATCTCGGAATATCCTGCACTATTCACTGATTCGCCCCCAGCCGAGCGGCGCCAAACTCGCGCAAGTTACATGTACGACAAAAATGGCTCAGTCTCGGTTTGCCATGGTAACTAGCGACGAAATTTCAAAAATAAATGAAGAGGCCATACCAGACAACACTAAAAAAGAGACTAAATTCGGTCTAGCAGTTTTTACAGGTAAAGCTTTGTCTGTTTAACCTGAATTTTACCGATGAAACCGGTGAAAATGTTTTTTGTTTACAAATTGAAATTATGTCTTGCGTTACTTAATGTTAGCTGACATGTTTAAATAAGCCTACTTTTTTTACAGAATAGTTTCAGATAAAAGAAGAGTTCAAAACCCCCTTTGAGGAGGTGTCACCAATTCAGCTTAACAAATGCCTCCAAAAATTTTACTTCTCCGCACGAAAACGTGACGGCAGTTACTACAACAAAAAGTCGCTCATCGCAATCCGAGCCGCGTTAGATCGTCACTTGAAAAGTCCTCCGTTTTTAAAGCCATTTTCCATTGTTGGCGACAGTCATTTTAATGAAGCCAATAAATCCCTCAGCACTTTTCTGAAAAATCTGAGAAAAAGTGGCCAAATAGCTCCGACAGTGCACAAACAAGCCTTAACAAAGGAAGTTGTTGAGAAACTTTACGAAGAAGGCGAGCTTGATGACATCGATTCTCTCCAACCACACAAAGTACAGCAGATGGCCTGGTTCTTCACCAGTTTATTCCTCGGAAAGAGAGGTCGAGAAAACCAGCAGCTGCTTAAGAAACACATGCTTATCTCAACGGAAGCGCCAAATGGTGAAAAAGAGCGCGGAGCAGTGTTGGCGACTAAAAACTATCAAGGTGGGCTAGATGACAAAAAAGATGAGTCAAACAGAAAATTTTTTTGAAAGACCAGGCTCAAAACGCTGCCCAGTGAAAGTCATCGAGAAATACCTGTCACATGTGAGTCCCAAATGCAGCAGTATTCCAGAAACCGAGAAGCCAATGCAAAGTGTTTAACCCAGCAACGGATCCTGTCGTACTGCTCGAGTCCACTTGGCCACAACACGCTTGAAAATATGTTACGTCAGGTATGACTTCAAGAGCTGGAATAAAGCCACATATAACAAACCACTCGATCAGAGCGACCACCGTGACGGTTTTGTCAGCTGCAAACATCGAGGGTCGGTACATCAGGGAAATAACCGGCCACCAAAGTGAAGAAAGCATCAAGAGCTATTGTGATACGCCGACTTTTGAGCAGTTTAAAAGAATGTCAAACGAACTAAGTGAATTCTTCGATCCAGCTGGTGGCGATGACAAGGCTGTTACAATCCCTAAGAAAACGGTTGCGACTTCATCGAGCCAGCCGCAATCAGTAACTACGAACACTGCAAATTATTCCTTCCAGTCAATTCAAGGTGGCCGGATCACAGAATCTTGTCCATGGCTTCATTCCCGGAGCCAGGTTCCACAACTGTAATCTCAACTTTAATGTAAGCTTTGGAGGAGGCAGCAGCAAATAAAACTTGTAACAGACAACGAAAAGAACAGTCTACGAAGATGGCGTAAAGCCAGGACTTTTCCTTTCGCATAGCTTGATCTTTTATTCACGGTTGTAAAGTCTCAAACACACAATTATGAATATTTTGAGCTGCGTGCATGTTTGTTTAATTTGCGCGCCAAAGTTGTAAATAAACGAATTAAAAATCGTCATTTGCGATCATTTTAGGCTTATCATCTCACTGTTTTAAGCATATACTAGTGGCTAGTATTATTGTGCCCGATCGGCGAACACATCTCCTGAGTTCTTTTTTTGTGTTCGCACAAGAAGGCTATTGTCTCGATCACGGCTTGTTTGGCTCATGCTTTAAAGAAATGCACACAGTCAGGAAACTTTCAGGTTAATATAAAATCCCCATCTGATTTCAAAATACTCTCTGCCCGAAAACTAAAGACGCTTTGCCAAAAATACAAGCTTCAGCTTACAACAGGTATTCCGCACGCTTGCATCGGCCTCGTCTTACGTAAATATTTATAGAGAATTATTAAAAAACACCACGACGGCTGAGTGCCACGAAAACGTCGCAAGAAAAAGTGAATTCATATTTTTTTCAGTCTCTATGGTGATTATTCCAACTCGCTTACTCTGTCAAATGCAAGCGAACTCTTTTATCAACCATATCCAAGTTCATAAAGAGAATGAAATTTGTCATGCTTGTTTACGTCCTTCACAAAACGTGAAATAAGGCATTTTCCCTGGTAGTCGTGCAGTTGACAGCAAAGAAATGTACAAAAAAGCGTGGTGCACTTGTAAATTTGTTGTTTTGGCTTGACAAGCTATTGCTTATTAGACTTTCTCGTCGCCACCGCATATTAAACTTCCTATTATTTACGATACATTGTGATCCGTCAAAAACAGCATATTCTTGGGGCAAATTCAATTGCTCCTACTGATAGCATCCCAAACGGTTTTTCGACTCATCGGTAGTTCCTTAGCTTCGTTTCTGGTTAACAGAGTAGAAAATAAAAGTTTCTTTTGCACGTTAAGAGTCATTGTCAGAGAAAACCGGACGGTGCCAAAAGATTGGGGTCAGCCGATTTCCTTTATTTTTTCAGCATTTAAAACCAAGCTGATAAGATTAACTTTGGTGACATTATGATTTTCCGGCGTTTCACTCCCGAGATTGACCACCCCCCCTAGTTTTTGGCCAAGGGAAGCTCTAAAAACCACCAAAAACAATGGCAATTCCTCGGGTACAAAACAATTATTTATCCTTAAGGAATTGGTGCACAAATTTTTTTCTGAGGCTAAATCACCTAATAAATAAACGTTCTGGGTGCTTAAAATCATATTTTTAGTTTAACAGTAATTTTGGCCAAGGTTTTTAATCCGGGTATGTTGCGTGACTGTTGCAGGACAACAAATTTCGGGGATTTGCGAAGGGCGTTTTCTTGAAAGTGCAGCTGTTTATTTTTTATTTAATTACAGATTTGAACAGTCTATACCCTCCTAAATCAAAAAAAAAAAGTTTATTGATCGGTACAAGAAACTCTTTTCACGCGAATTTTGTTAGAAAATGCCAAAGATCGCTCTTACGGCTAACTGCTCGCTGAAGTTTAAATAGCGGCAGTACTGCATTATAAAGGTACTAATCCATTTTAAAAGAGTATTTTATATTCCACTTAGGTTTGAATAAAGGGAAAATAATTATAAAATACTATTGCTTTAACTTAGGGGTTATACAAGACTGCCATCATGCACGCAAAGGTCTCAATTACTTGGTGCTACGCTGATTATTGTCTGGCCTATGCGAGTGAGCCAACAGGACCATGTATGTGCGGTCCTATCTAGTGATAAAATCATGACGACTTTTGTATCACATGCAACAGAAATTCTCAAAGTTATTTTAGTTATTTTAGGAGATGCTATATTTTCGCTGTGTGACCTGTCGTGCAAAAAGTAGCCTCTGCCGACAACCGTTCAAATCCGTCCAGAAATCTGGACGAATAAATTTAAAAAACGGGTTTTTTTTCCTTTTCTTTACCGGTTTCGAGCTTTGCGTGAGTCTTGCTTAGCAGATCAGAGTTGTCGCAATGTTTTTTATTCCCAAGAAACTCGCGCCATTTGACGACAGACGTGACAATTAATTTTGCTTGCGAATGGGGTGACAAATTTCGCGCATGAACGATAGAAAATTGAACGGTTGTTAACAGAGGCTACTTTTCGCACGACAGCTCCCATAGCGAAAATGTAGCCTCTGCTCGCAGGGTATTTGTTACATCGATCACTACTGACAAAACCCAACAATGTATTTTATAAAATGCGAAAGAAGAATACGTAGTGCAAAATTCAGTTATTTCCGAAATGAGCACAACTTAGCGTAGGCATCAAGTGGTTCAGTAAAAGTACCTTTTTCTTGAGTTGCTACCTTTTGTTTGCAGACTTAAGGCTCTGCATACTTCTCTCAACTGTGCTAACTTCAGCGAACTGAGCTTTCCAGCACAAGTAAGTTCACAAACGTTTACTGCTTCTATTTTAATAGGGTGACTAATAGTTTGTTCAATGTCTCTGTAAACCTCCTGGTGTATGGCTTGAATGTGGTCTTCTGATTCAAGGACTGTGAGGTCTTCGTCTGTCACTTCTTGTTCCTCCTCCTCCTGGCTCTCTATTTCATCAGCTCGTCTTTGGCGCTGCAACGCTGACATCCTTGCGAAAAAGTTACTAAATTGTTGAGCGTTTCTCCATTCGTCTGGTTTGAATTGTAACTTTCCACTGCTATCTCTAATACTCTGCATTTCTCTAGCCACGTGAATTGGATCAGCCTTTTGCCCTCCCGCTACTCCTTGGTTAAATTTCTGAACAAGAAAGGCTTTTACTTTCTCTTCCATCCTGTTGGTCCGCTTAGTTGATTTAAGCGCCCATCCTTTATTACGGCGTTCTCTAGCACTGGAAGGCCCGGCTTCTTCAAATGCAATTCGCTGTCTATCTCCGCTAGCTACATGCATCTCTCCGACTCGGTCAGCCCACTTCTTTCGTGCCGCATCTTACACAGACTCACAATCTAGATCTGACGCACGTACATGCTTCCTTGCGTCCATGTGAGCTTCCGCTTCCTCTCGAATCTTGAACGTTAGCACGCATGTACTTTCACTTCATGAGAATATTTCTCCTCGTGGATTGGAAGCATGGCTAACTGAGCCAAGATTGTTGCTACGTGGACCCTACTCCTTTAGGACTTTCAATCCAGTTTCTTCCTGTGGTACAACTTCAAGCTGACTGTATGATAAGAATCTGTCGGGTCCAAGGCTGAATGCACGCCAAGCGAGTATTCCGTTTCCCTCAAACGAAAAGTTGTTAAGGAGGCTGATACCTAGTATCTTGTTGGCGGTGATTTCTTTATTAGTGTCCACTTTGACAACTGCCGCCCTGACTCCTTTTACTCCTCCATGCGACTCTAGTGCTGTCTTCATGTCTTCCTCAGTTCCTCACTGTGTTTTTCATTGACCCATCGTCGTATGTGTGCCTTCATAGGAGCGGTCTTTCGGTCACAGACGTCTTTTCTGGACTGTGGCTTTGAAATGTCGTAACGCAGAATTGTCATGCTGGTTCGTTGACCAATGAACAGAAGAGTGAGCAAAAGAGATCCACTATGGTAATAACCTGCGTTATCGGATCTCAGGAAAACATTTTCAATCTCCGGTGATTCTTTCTTGATGGTATTTAAAAGATGCTCTATTATAGAGGCTACAGCAAAGCTGTTCTGCGTACAGTTATCGAAAAGATGGACAAAACATTCCACTTGGAATTTTTCAGTATGCTTAGTGATCACAGCACTCACATGCCAGCTTCGTCCTCGTTTTCCGAAGAAATCACTCATTCGTTCCCGATAACGTTGTGGGAGGTATTTCATGGCCCAATCCCTAACGGTTAAACATGAAGCTGAATCAACATGTACAAGAGCAAATCGCTTTCCTTCTTCTTGATTTACTGTGCGAAGCAAATGCGCCTTTCAGACCTGGATAGATGCCAAACAGAGTTTGTAGTCGTGGCTTAACCGCCATCTGTGCTCCCCCGGCATCTCAACATGGTTGATCTCGGATTCAATTTCCTTCAAAACTGTCTCTAATGATTCGCATTGCTCGTTGCCAGTTTCATGCTCGTGCTGACATATACTTGGCAGGTTGGAGTCACTTGTGTCACCTAGGGCATGTGCAGTGCAGTGATCCGCACAAGTTTCTTCTCTGCCAACATGGGACTTAAACTCAGTCTTAAGGTATCTCTTTGCCTCCTTGATTTTTTGTTCTGCATCCTTTACCCAGGTAGCCTCCGATCTATGGTCTCCAAGCGTCTTAAGCACGTCAGTGACGTTGTCTATGGCCTCCGTCCCTTCTGCTTTAGTGATTCAAAATTCTGCTCTTTGCAGTAAACTGAGTATTGCTCAATTATTATTGACGGTATCATAGTCCTTATAACTGCCGGAATGATAATGCTTCCTCCCGTGTCGAGCTTAAGCACTTTTGTGCCAAATGCTACGTCCTACAGCATCCCAGGTCTTGCGATGTAATCGATAAAATGATCAATTTGAACGGGTGAGATTCGGGAACGGAAAATTGGCTCTTGCAGAACAGGCAGACCTTCACCAACTTTGGTAGCATGCTGTCGAGCTTCATTTTGAAAGTGTTGGTATCATATTCATCAACTGGGACCAGCTAAAATCATTGGCAAAGAGAGAGAGTATTTGTTGTTTTGTTTGCCATGATTCGGCATGGTTATATGACTTGATCAGAACGTTGATTAGCCCGATTTCGGATCAAAACTTCTATGTCTAGTAACACCAGCAGAATCCTTATTTACTAATCTTTCCTGTCGAAGAGTGGTCCATAATTCCTCTTCCTGTCCAGGGCTAAGGACCGAAAGTGCTGTGCAGATGTTTTCTTTGGCCTTTCGCAAATAGTACTTTTGCTGTGTTGTCGATATATCATCCCAAGACGTATTCAAAATTGACAGAATGGGTGAAATTCTTCCTCCAGATAAACTGCTAATGGTATTGTTCAGTAGCTGCCTTCTCCGTTGCTGTTCCTCTACCTCGTCGGACGAGATACTGATTTCTTCATCTGGGATACTTTGTTGGGATGATTGTGATGATGATGAAACCATCTCTTGTTCTGCATTAGATGTTACCAGAGCGCCCTGATCTTCATTCTGCTGTGACAGTTCAAATACATCTTCATCACCAGCCACTTCAGACTGTCAGTGCAATAAAAGGGATATTAACTACATTTCCAGAATTTTTCTGTTACGTTGTTACCGAGAATGGAGCCACAGCAAAGGGAGTTACAGGACTCCTTAACCAGTAAAAACCACTAAAAGTGGCAAACAGACTAAAACCTGAAACCGAATTTTCGGTTTGTTGTCATCCAAAAATTTTGTTCCCATGGCAACGTGACTTAACGACTTCTTCTCACTATTGCATTCAAACCTTTCCCGGTACTAGAGCCTACCCCTCGTCCTTACATTAGAGAGATTTAGAATCACGGCAAACAGCAAACGTCGATTTGCTGCATCTCTTTTATTGTAGTTTACTAGTCATGATATCTACACAAATAGAAGTTTCAACTGAAAGCGATCTATACAAAACTGATGTACTCACTATACCTTAGTCGCTTTATTTTGTTATAATTTTTGTTTTAATTTGCTTTTTTAGTTGATAGATTTGTTACGTAATAATATGTTAGAGCAAGCATTTATGAAAGTAAAAATGTTCTCCCCTTTCTCCAAAATAAGAATCTTGGTGTCACATTACACCCTTCCCCCTCCCCCATAAAGGCCACTCTCTACAACGCCCCCTCAAAAAGTGGCCGTTGTAGAGTGGTACTGGTCGGACTGCATCAAGCTTACAGGTCGCTAAAAAACGTTAGGGTGGGGATAGCCAGTCCATCTAACTCCATCTATTTTCAAACTGAAAGAAGAGGCATTAACGTTGGCAATGCTAGTCTATCGCTTTTTCGTTCTCAGTTCCTAGCTTCCCAGCAAATAGTATTTTTTATCAGAATTCCCCCCTCCCGAGTTTTCCGATCCGCGTTTCTTTCACGGTTTTTCGGTTGTTCTTCTTTTGTCTTCTTTTACAGTCTTGGATAGGTTTTTAAATATTTAAACCTGTTGTTAAGTGTTTCAGATACCTAGCTTAAATTGCGTGACTAAAGAAAGCAAATACACAACCTGCTAATAGCCCCTTCCTCTTTCAGAGTCTTCTACATGGTGTAGTCTGTAATGCTCTGTGCGACACTTCACACAAATAGCTAATACCAATGAAATAGATAAAGATTAAAAATGTGACCCTTGCTTCAACCCCCAAAAATCGAATTTTGTACATAGTTTCTGGGACAGCTAAGATTTACACATTGAGTTTCAATCTTGTCATCAGTGAAAGTGGAAAAATGCTAGTACTTAAAACCTTTTAAGAGAATGGCGCGAGATGAATGATTACTTTTTATTTGAATGAATTAAAATAATCTTGTTATAGTTGTAGTTTATAGTTCCTGTTCATGTAGGCGTGTCACGCTGTAGCTTCTGTCACGACAACACTTGAAAAGACTTTTTGTGGCAAAAAAGCTTCCGTTTAGCCTGCGAAGCGCAGACGTATTTCCGGTCGTCGCTTCTCTCCCTCCGTTATTTTTCGGAGGGAGAGAAGCGACGACCGGAAATATATCTGCGCTTCGCAGGCTAGCTTCCGTTCTGAATAAAAGTATCTTGCTTGCTCACCTCATCCTCGGAGACCCAGGGGCAGTCAGTCTGTGCTTGAAAACTTTCGTCGCGCCTTTTAACCCGAACCGACTGACTGCCCCTGGGTCTCCGTAGACTACGAGTAGTCCCCCATTTTTCCTCAGGGATAGTAGAGCGAACGAAACGCGAGTGCGCGTGAAAATTACCCCACGCGAGAAAAGGCGACACGTGTCGCCTTTTCTCGCGTGGGGTAATTTTCAGGCGCGTTTCGCTCGCTCTACTATCCCTGAGAAAAATGGGGGACTACTCGTAGTCTAGGGTCTCCGAGGATGGCTCACCCTTGTTTGATTTATGGCACATCCAAGGACATTTACCCCCACCCCCCGCGCTTCTGTTGATATAGTGGCGCTTTGATTTGCAACTTGATGCCAGCGCTTTCACTACAATAGTCATACTCGATACGCCTAGAGCCTAGAGCCTTTCGTGATATTTATGGAAAACATAATTTACCAGGTAAAACTGGACCCAGCTGGGAAAGCACATGATAGCAGCATTGTGTAAAGCAAAGTTTTCCTTGGACATTGCGTAATTGGCACGGCGTGGGTCTTTGACCTGCTTGCGTTGACCTTTGTGCGATGGATAGCAACATGTCGAACTTTCACGACCTCTCCAGTCGACTGTCAGGTCTCTTCTGTGTTTATAAATCATGACATAAATCGAAGTGTCCTGCTCTGTTCAAGATGAGCTCCTTCGCAGTGATTTCTATTCCTTCGGATCGCCATCCTCGCTTGCTACTCACACCAAGTCACAGTAAGTGTGGTGTTATGTCTTCTTTACAAGCATCCAGCGGCAGAACATTTGTACTAGATCCGTAAGAACTACAAGCTGACTCTTGTGAAGCGAACGAACAGTTCATATTTTAAAGCAGGTGTGGTACAACGAAAGTACTCAAATTTCGGCGAGTAGTAAATGAAACCTGATAACCCAGCGGCGCGCGAGACATATAGACGTTGCTCGATCTCAAATTACGCAGCTACAATTATACATGTAAGTCGTTTATTAATTTCTTAATTTCATATTTTGACAAACAAAAATTTTCTGCAAAATCCAAGTAAAAAATATTCTCCTGAAATTTTATATGACTGAAAATTCGTCGCACAGACAATTTAAAAATCGTCCATTCATTTCTTTATAATTAATTCTAATTAATACGTCTGCTTTATAATTTGTTTTGTATCATACGTGTACGACTGAAACGGTTTCCGCTGTTCCAAAGTAAGGTTGAATTCTTTTCTTTGCAGTATCCTTTCCAAAATATTTTTTTTTTAATCGGGTGATGAAGTTTTCAGCCGTCTAAAGTTACAATTTAAAGGTCATTACCAAAAAGCAAGGTTACATGCTTTGTGCAAAATACCGCAAAAATCACGTTCACGAAAATAGGCTTCCTGTGAAAAGAGTTTCTTGTACCAATCAATACTTTTTTTCTTTTGACTTAGAAGGGTATAGACTATTGTAAAATGGAATTATTTAACAAATAAACAGCCGCACTTTCAAGAAAATGGGCTTAGAAAATCGCCGAAATTCGCTGTCCTGTAACAATCACGCAACATACCCGGATTAAAACCCTTGGGCAAAATTACCGTTACACTAAAAATTTGATTTTATGCATCCAAAACGTTTAATTTAAGGTAATTTAGCTTCAGAAAAAAATCTGTGCACTAATTCCTTAAGGAAAAATTGTTTTAGACCCGAGAAATTGCCATTGTTTTTGGTGGTTTTTAGGGCTTCCCTTGGCCAAAAACCCAAAAACTAGGGGCGGGGGGTGGTCAATCTCGAGAGTGAAAAGCCGGGGAATCTTGTTAATGTCACCAAAGTTAATCTTATCAGCTTGGTTTTAAATGGTGAAAAAATAAAGGAAATCGGCTGACCCCAATCTTTTGGCACTGCCCGGTTTTCTCTGACAATGGCTGTTAAGCTTGGTGAACGAACCGGGCATGTGTGGTGAGACAATAGCCGTCGTGTATGAACTACCATCGAGTCCTAATTGTTTTTAAACTTTAATTTAAGGCAAAATTTTTCGAGTACCGCATTAAACCCGTTAACATCATGCGTCGATACATTCGCACCTCCATCACGGGCACAAGGCGACTATATTCTGTAACACAACTGTTCGAAGTAGCAAATATTGCCTAGAAATTTCTAAAGCTTGAGAAAAGCTAACAATTTCTGGATAACCGTTCCGTTCGTCTAAAATATTCGGAGGTTTTCTAATAGCTTAACTAAGATTTTCGAAGGTTATATTTTCACATTTTAATATCAAGATGCTGCGATTACTTTCGCCCGAGCCCATAAGGGTAACTAATAACACTCTCGGATGAGACGAAAAAAGCCACCTAAAACTTTCTTGACGACCAAAGTTCCCCTTAGACATCCGAACAGATAAATAGGGCAGCTCCAAATTGACCAAACAGGCCTCTAAAGCATAGAGAAAAAACATCTGCGACAATTCCGGCGTATCTGGAAACATTCGGCCTTGAGTGCCCATGCTCCATTCGAGAATCTACAAAAATATTGACATTGTAGAGCAGCCAAACACATACTGTTGCTGCTTCCCATTTAATTTCTCCGATTCCTTTTTATAACAGGCTAACATCGATGAAATTGATTTCAATAATACAGTCATTTATGCAAATCTCGAGGTAACAACTGAAGAAAATCATGCAAATCTATCTGCATGGTACAAGAATATTAATAGCATCCAAAACAAATTTGAGGAATTGACAGACATGATTAAGACCTAAAAGCGCACATCACAATCATAACTGAAACAGAGGTTGACTCCACTTATCCTAATGATCAATTTAGCCTGCCTGGTTATATTTTATACCCTAGTGATAGGACAAAAGTTGGTGGGGGCATCTTGGCTCTTATCTCTACTTCTATTTCATGTAAGACATTAAAAACTGAGCGTCACTACCAGTATTAAGATCCTATCATACTGGACGTGACAATCGGCAGGATAAACATGATAACAACTGACATTTACAGACCGCCTAGACAATTAGTAGGAAAAGCCATAGCTAGAGGAAGAACTGAACCATATCTGCAATTGGGCATCACTCCAACGAGACGCGGTAACTGTCACTAGTGACCTTAACCTAGACAGGCTAAGACCTCAGAGAAAAGAGGACAAATTACCTCTGGACCTAGAAATTGTGCAGGGCTTTGAATGAGTGATAAAGCAGTCAACTAGTTTGGATAGGAAAGGAACTATAACAACAGCAACGCTTATTGATGTACCTCTGACTAACAGACCAGATCTGTTTATTAGAGGTAGTTTTTGACCCTGCTCTAAGTGACCATATGCTCATTTATGGTATAATGAAAGAAAAAACGAAAAAGCACTCAGGCAATATTATTCAGTTAAACAGCTATAAAAATTTTGATCCCGTAAAAGAAGAAAAAGAAGAAGCGAGTAAGGGACAAAGACATACCCTATATGACGACAGCACTATGGAAAAATGCAT